TGATTACAGTTCCTATACTACTAATCATTATGTATGTCATCAAACGCTACCGAAACCCAAGTGATACTCAAAATGACAAAACATCAGATCAGACACTAGACAATCACCCCGGCAAGCACCGGGAGTCTACCACCAACACTGACATATACAATGACCCTGGTGATCAGTCGAAGTTATTCGACAAATACCCTAAATATCGATGGCCGGCCATACTATTAAGTGGTGTATTTGTAGGCAGTTTTAATTTGGTCGAGGCCTCGTACTTCACATTTGCATCCACCTACTTTCAATACTGTCCCCTTAAGGTCAGTGCCACAAAGGCCTTGGATGTGATCACGGCGTTCACCACACCCTACACAGTGTTCAGAGGGCTCAGCATTTTTATGGCCATTAAACTGTCCTCGAAATACATGCTTATTATCCACCATCTAGTCTGTGTAATAGGTACGACCCTGATACCACTTATGCTAATAATTAATTTTTAATTGTTTTAAAAAATTACATTATAGAATATTTATTTTAAAAATGTAACAAGCGCCAAACATTTAAAAATAATTTATTTTATGACATTTATATTAAATTAATTCTATATTTGTACCTATTACAATTAATCAAGAATATTCTGTTTAGGTATCATATGCCTGGTGTTTGGTCGCAGTAATATGACCATGCTATACGTGGCCAATGTGGTCATGGGGATCGGCTTATCGGCTATAATACATTCCTTTTTCGCATTCGTGGGCCAACACATCCGTATGACTGATATGGTGGGAACGGTACTCATAGTATTCATGTCGTCATTCAATATACTGCCCCCATATCTCATCGGACTGTATATTAAATCCTTTTCCGATATGTTTATACTGTTTGAGGCCCTTATGCTCGGGGTCAGTATCGCTTTGCTTTCATTGCTTATGTTCATTATATGGAGGACCGAGAAAATGAAACTAGATGCGTTTAATAGCGATAAGTGTATATCAAATTTAAATTAGAAATACTGTGAGTATTAGGATAATTATTAGCTTTGCTTTCATTGCTTATGTTCATTATATGGAGGACCGAGAAAATGAAACTAGATGCGTTTAATAGCGATAAGTGTATATCAAATTTAAATTAGAAATACTGTGAGTATTAGGATAATTATTTTATTTAATCGTAAATATAAAAATAAAAATGTATTTATAATTTAATGCTAGCATTGCTATATTAATTTTTGACAATAATAATAAAAATATTAAAATAATACTAAAATATTAAAGTATAACAAATTTCTTATATAAATTATTTTAATTAATAATATTACGTCATATGAATCAATATGAGTCTAATAGTACCAGTACATTATTGGTTTATTGATTAATTATAGTTTTATGTTTAAATAATGAACTTATTTTTTAAAAATATACAAGTACAGTATTATTTATTACAACTTATTGCACTAGGCAAAAACTCTTAGTTCATAGAAGAGATTATTTTGGCTAAGTCGACATAGCCGATTATTTTATGAAAACTAATTTTAAATAACAAGCAATTAATCAATTATTTATTTAATAATCATTGACAAATATTTATTAGTTTTATACAATCTTAAGAATTGTAAAATCTTAAAAATAATATGAGGCAAGATAATATGAATAATACATTTGTCAAATCTTCATTAAATACGTGGTTGCAAACGCATCTTGCGACCACTCATATACAGTGATTGCAACTTTAGATGAGTTCAATCAAAAAAGATTTAACTATCAAGATGATTTTTAGTTTTATTGCCCATTTCACCAGAAATGCAGAATCTTGTGATTTTTCATCTGATTTGAAAATGATGAAGGTGTGACCTCTGGGTCAGAGGTTATGGCCAAAAAACAGTTACCGAGGTTACACTGTACATATCAAAATTCTAACATTTTCAATTTATGTATTTATTCATAAATGTCTTGACATGTTTCGGGAATTTTGAAAATACTTCCCGGATCAGTTTATTT